TTGCAAGCACACTTGTTTACATCTGCAATTCAAATAACTGCATCATCCGACATGAATGCAACAGGGGTGTTCCACTCATGATTTATGGGATGTGGTACTGTTTTAAACCAGATTTAGGCAGGTACCGATGAATCAAAACAAATCATAAAATCAAAATAAAATCAATTCATAACAAACATTTAAATGAAATGAACATAATTTCAACAATTAATGCATGCATACATAATGCAAAATCATTTGGTTATGAAACATAAAATACAACACAAAATTCATAATTTATACAAATTAAACATTTTGAAATAAAAAAATATGTTACCCACCTTCCCCCCCCTTCTCCCTCTTACCCTGGCCCTGCCACCCTGCCTTTCCCCTACTTTCCCCTCCCCCCTCCTCCCTCCCCCTCTCTTACACCCCCCCCCCCCCTTCCCCCCTCCCCCCCCCCTTCTCCCTCCTTCCTCGCTTCCCTCTGTCCCCCTTGCTTACTCCCCCATCCTTCCCCTTTGTCACTACCTCCCCCCCTCCCCCTCCCTACTACTGTTCCCTCCTGATCCCCTCTCCTTCCCCTCCTTGGTTCCTTCTCCTCCCCCCCCTCTTTCCCCCTCTCCCCCCCGGCCCCCCCCCCCCCCTGCCCTTGCCGTCTCCTCCTTTACCCTACCCCCCTCCCCCTCCCTCCCTCCCCCCCACCCTCCCCCCTCCCGTGTGCCTACACCACCTCTCTCTTCCCACCCCCCTCTGCCCCTGCCACCTGCACTCCCCCCCCCCCTTCTCCCCCCCTTACTCCTCCCACTTCCCCCCCCCCCCATGAAATGTAACAAAACAATATATCCAATCAAAATAATTATGGATACAATAATAATCACAATGTCACCCCCCCCCCAAAAAAATTTAAAAACAAAAAAAATAAATAAAACATTAAATGACAAATCAATATGAATATTTGCATCATCAAAATAATAAAAATAAAACTATCAAATCAACAATAAATAATTAAAAACATGGATCATAAAAATAAAATGCATTATACAATATGACAAATATCAATTCATATATCAAAAAAAATATAACACAAAATCCAAATTACAAAATGGCAATACAAAATGTGATCACTATGTTTTTATCAACAAAAATTGAATAAAAAATTAGACATTACCCTAAATCAATCATAAAAAAAAATGTATATGAATATTTATAAACATCACAAGAACATTCATTACACAACAATAAAATAAAAATAAAAATCAAAAATACACAAATAATATAAATGAAATTATAATGATATATATTAATAATATCATACTCCTTATTCATATAAAACCATCACCTCCATGTATATGACAATCACCCCCGCCCCCTCTTTCCCTCCTCCCCTCCTCCCTCCTTCTCCTCTCTAACATAAATTCCTACACCATTGTGTTACGGTGGGACACAACGATCATGTGTGTATTTAGCTAGAAGTCCAAAACATAAACACAGCTAAAACACTGTGTCAAACTTAGCTATGTTGTGCAGCCTGGCAAAATGAAATTCAAAAGCGTCCCACTATGATGTTTTGCTCAAGGGATTCTTTTTGCTACTCATACTCTTAGACTGAAGGAATTAAGAGGATTCTGAAGATTGTGCAACAAGAATTAAGCATATAGCTCACATGCCACTTGGCAAAGTCACATGAGACATAAAACACTTTGCAGGGATACCTAATACAGTTTAGGCTGTGATGAATTGTACTTCACATTGCTGTGGACTCCAGCAATGTACATTCTTTTATGATAATTTATGCAAGGAATTACAGGTGCTTTGGCTTACACGTCGGGTTCTTCTTCTGGATAACTTACTGGCAGCACTGTTCCTGAGGGCTTTCTCTATAGTCAAATCTCCTGAGGAGAGTCTTGGTGCACGGTGTGGAAGAGCTGACAGTGGAACTCCCTACGTAGCGACTCCACACTCCTGAGCCAGACGACGCCATGTTTCTTACAACTGCACCAATCTTCTGACTCAGCTGGAAACTACCCTGAGGAGTGTGTGTGAGTGTGTGTGAGAGAGAGAGGGGGGGAGATGACCATTTACAGTGTCTCTGAACAGCAGCCATCGTGCTAAGCCTATATGCTCAGCACCACTTCGACCTACATATGCAGCCACCTCAGGTCCCAAGTGTGACTGATCAACTAGTAAGGCTCAAGTCTAATGAGGTAATCATTGCTAAGGCCAGGTTCTTATAGCAGCCCTATAGTCAAAGCATGATCAAAGCATGAGCAACTGGGGTTATTAGGATTCCGGCAGTCCATAGCACACACAGCTTATGTGGTTATTCCCAACTCCGCACTTCACGACAAGACACAATACAAAGTGTGTACAATACAAGTGACTCATACTGAAACTTCTTGAAGAGAGTAAAGTTGCCAATTAAAGCACTCAAAACACTCCCTTCCTTCACAGCATATTGAAACGATTATTCTTTACACATACGTGACTGGACACATGTTTACTACGTTTGCATGCGGCAATTTAGAGTCCGGAAAATTTGCTCTAGTCCACGCTTCGACCAATCAGATTGCATAAATTACCCAGCTCTATATACCTCTCGTCTGCTGGAGGCCATGTTTGAAGACGTAGCACCTGTTCCCAGCTCCAGCCATAGTTTTTCTGCTGCACCTGACACATGCAGTTGATGGGGTCATCTCCATCGTGTATCCGAAGCCACTGGTTGTCCTAGATCCCATGCGGTCTAGCAGACAGCAGTTGTAAAAGTAGACGGAAGAAAGATTGTCTAGGACAGGCATGTGATAGCTCGGAATGAGAGCATACAGGGTGTAATCCATGTCATAATGTGTTAAGAGGAATTGGCTAATGAAATTAGTCTCATTTGGTCTACAGAGAGCTTGTTTGAAGCATATTTTAAACATTGCTAGCAGATTGTATGGTGCATATTTCTTGTAGCAGTAAAACATTTGACAATTTCATCACGGCAATTACCTTTCGCCTCTTGAAAATGTAGACATTGCCTTCAACAGCTATGAACACCTGGTTCTTGTAATACCTGGATAAGTTCATACATAAGGTTAGTGGTTTGGAGATTTTCCTCGATGCTACGTGTATCATCCCCGGCTCAAGAGTGCCAATGTATGGTTATTGGTGTGTGTTGATTTCACGTTCAACACTACATGAGGATCTATAAGCAAGTGGAGATGTGAGTGAGTGAAAGAGTTTTCCTATAGCAATACACTTCCAGGGAAACACTTAATGGCCCTTCCAAGACGATTGACAACAATGGTAGTGACCTGAGTTTTTAATGAAAAGGACATCAACTAGAAACTCACTCAATGCAGGCCAGCTAAATTGATGACCTCCATGACCTTATGAGCCATCTCATTGGATGTTGGGTGGATCATGAGTCTGTGAAACAACAAGATTTGGGTGGTATGTGTCGAATAGACTACTTTACTGGCCCATTAATCAGCTAATGCATAGAACTATGCACATGGTAAATGGGGCAGGGTGGGTTATTAACCCTTAGCAAGCCACGGGCATATATATATATATATATATATATATATATGCCCACAGCATCCATTAGACCATAAGAATTTATATATGGCTATAATACTAGGCATTAAGCATAGATAACCCTGCAATAATATTATACTTATGCCTTCCATACAACAGCACACACTAATAGGCAGAGATAATTAATACCCACCACTGGTTTGATTCTTATGCATGAGGGGAAGTAAATAAAAGCCAACAAACCCTCCTGAATACCTTAAGCTTGAGTATATATGCTGTGTGATATGTAGCTGAAATAGGGTGGCCTAAACTTTTCGTATTTTTAGCTTCTAGATCGTCAAATGGTGTTTGTACTCTTCTCCCACATTCTTGAGTTAGTGTGATGATCAGCATTCATTCTTGCGAGGTACGCATGCGCTACAAAGGCTGAGAGGTGTGTAGGCGACAAAGGTTGGCTGTTTGTGCGCGCTAGTACTGTCTCCGCATGCGCATGCGCAATGAACATTACGGCTGTATAAAGATGATGACAAACCATCCCTCCGTTGTGTTCGCTGCCTTTGATAATGTGTGTCAAAAAGTCGAAAGTTCTGCTCTCATTGAGCATTCTTGCGAGAATTCAGGGCAAAGCATCAACAAAAGGGATGGTAAGTGTCTTGTCTATGGCTAACAGCTAAGCATGCAGCATCCCCGTTACAGTCTGTGTGCGGACTGTGCGCTGCGTCAAAATCGCCGGACAGAGTTGAAGTGCTTAGTTTGGAATAGCGACGTCCGGATCAATGTTGACTTAAGGATTTTGTCATCTATTTCGTCCATCTTTTGTGAGAGAGAGTGTTTCAGTGTCTCTGAAAAGCAGCCATCGTGCTAAAGCAGCTAATGGCTTCAGCACCACTGGTCGACCTAAAATAATGCAGCCACCTCAGGTCCCAAGTGTGACTGATCCACGAGTAGCTCAGTCGAGGAGGTAATCAATGTACGGCCAGGTTTCTTATAGCAGCCCTATAGTCACGCATGATCAAAAGCATGAGCAACGGGGTTATTAGTATTCCTGCAGTCCATAGACACATCTAATGAGGTAATCAATTGGAAGGCTCACAGTTCTTATAGCAGCCCTATAGTCAAAGCATGATCAAAGCATGAGCAACTGGGGTTATTAGGGTTCCGGCAGTCCATAGCACACACAGCTTATGTGGTTATTCCCAACTCCGCACTTCACGACAAGACACAATACAAAGTGTGTACAATACAAGTGACTCATACTGAAACTTCTTGAAGAGAGTAAAGTTTCCAATTAAAGCACTCAAAACACTCCCTTCCTTCACAGCATATTGAAACGATTATTCTTTACACATACGTGACTGGACACATGTTTACTACGTTTGCATGCGGCAATTTAGAGTCCGGAAAATTTGCTCTAGTCCACGCATCGACCAATCAGATTGCACAAATTACCCAGCTCTATATACCTCTCGTCTGCTGGAGGCCATGTTGAAGACGTAGCACCTGTTCCCAGCTCCCAGCCAGAGTTTCTGCTGCACCTGACACATGCAGTTGATGGGGTCATCTCCATCGTGTATCCGGAAAGCCACTGGGTTGTCCAGGTCCCATGCTGAGTCTAGCAGACGAGCAGTTGTAAAAGTAGACGGAGAGAAAGATTGTCTAGGAAAGGCATGTGATAGCTCGGAATAGAGCATACAGGTGTAATCCATGCATAATGTGTTAAAGAGGAATTGGCTAATGGAAATTAAGTCTCATTTGGGTCTACAGAAGAGCTGTGTTTGAAGCATATTTTAAACATTGCTAGCAGGATTGTATGGTGCATATTTCTTGTACAGTAAAACAATTTGACAATTTCACGGCAATTACCTTTCGGCCTCTTGTAAATGTAGACATTGCCTTCAACAGCTATGAACACCTGGTTCTTGTAATACCTGGGATAAGTTCATACATAAGGTTAGTGGTTTGGAGATTTTCCTCGATGCTACAGTGTATCATCCCCGAGCTCAAGAGTGCCAATGTATGGTTATTGGTGTGTTTGATTTCACGTTCAACACTACATGAGGATCTATAAGCAAGTGCAGATGTGAGTGAGTGAAAGAGTTTTCCTATAGCAAGACACTTCCAGGGAAACACTTAATGGCCCTTCCATGACGATTGACAACAATGGTAGTGACCTGAGTTTTTAATGAAAAGGACATCAACTAGAAACTCACTCGATGCAGGTGATAGGGCCAGCAAAATTGATGACCTCCATGACCTTATGAGCCATCTCATTGGATGTTGGGTGGATCATGAGTCTGTGAAACAACAAGATTTGGGTGGTATGTGTCGAATAAACTACTTTACTGGCCCATTAATCAGCTAATGCATAGAACTATGCACATGGTAAATGGGGCAGGGTGGGTATTAACCCTTAGCAAGCCACGGGCATATATATATATAATATATATATGCCCACAGCCTCCATTAGTCCATAAGAATTTATATATGGCTATAATACTAGGCATTAAGCATAGATAACCCTGCAATAATATTATACTTATGCCTTCCATACAACAGCACACACTAATAGGCAGAGATATTAATGCATACCCACCACTGGTTTGATTCTAATGCATGAGGGGAAGTAAATAAAAGCCAACAAACCCTCCTGAATACCTTAAGCTGATATGCTGTGTGATATGTAGCTGAAATAGGGTGGCCTAAACCTTTCGTATTTTTAGCAATCAAGTGGAGGGAAAGACAGGGCAACCAACAATCCTAAATAGCTTGACTATAGCTGGAGTATGCAGTGTATTGTTGAAAATAGGATGGCCTAAAATATTCGTACTTTTAGCGAGCAAGTGGAGGAAAGGATAGCAGGTAACTTTCTCCTGCACACCCTCAGAGTTTGAACACTTTTTGCATTTTTTGCAGGAACGTGAGTACAATGAAATGACAAGCTAGAATCTCTAAACTTTGACAATAGTTGGAGGGTGTGGAATAGAAAAACTTTAATGTTGGATACAATTGGCTAACTTTTGAGGGGGTAAAAGATTCCTGTTCAGACAGTGAACATTTACCTCCTCAGGGTTTGAATGTAGAAACTACGTAATGTTGACTGGCGAAAGACTCTCCTGAATACCTAGACTAGAGATATCAGAGAACGTTGACACATACTTGCCAGTCTGAGAACCCATCCAGATTGTCTCGGAGTTGGCAGAGAGGGAAGGAGCTCCGATGATGGCGGAGGACATGGAGCTCTGGAGGGGAGATGACTGGTGGCTGGAGGAGTCTCTGGGCACATAGCACATGGCCAAGATACGAGTCGAGTCCACCTACATATGTAGACATGACATGTAATATTATGGGTGTGTGAAGTATGTAGCTATACTAGAGGACAATTCAATTTGTCACGCGTGTTTTCGCGTGTATTCAGAATCACATAGAACATTATGGTACAGTGCAGAGCAGCTAAACCGATAATTAGTTTAAGAATGCCCATGGCATTTGTTCGTAATCGAATCATACTTCCAAAACATCCAAGTTACGCCTAATAAAGGCTAATTGGCGAGCAATCCTATTTCACTCTCCTATACTTTGCTTTTATTACAAGCCATGCCTGCTCCATGAAACGCGTGTGCAGCTAAGATAATTTTAAGAACAAGTCTGTTAATGTGGTGGAACAGTGCAAAACCGTTCACACTGTAAGGCCTTTTAAGGGGGCAAGGGAGAAAGTCACCTTCTATATATATGGTATTCTGTAGTATAATATTACACAGTTGGACAAAGGTGTGTATAGCTATATAGAATCTGTGCAGATGGATGAAGACAAAAGCTGAGTCTCTGGGCACATAGCACATGGCCAAGATACGAGTCGAGTCCACCTACATATGTAGACATGACATGTAATATTATGGGTGTGTGAAGTATGTAGCTATACTAGAGGACAATTCAATTTGTCACGCGTGTTTTCGCGTGTATTCAAAATCACATAGAACATTATGGTACAGTGCAGAGCAGCTAAACCTATAATTAGTTTAAGAATGCCCATGGCATTTGTTTGTAATCGAATCATACTTCCAAAACATCCAAGTTACGCCTAATAAAGGCTAATTGGCGAGCAATCCTGACAGTATGGTGATACACTATTGTACATGGCAAACGTGACTAGAATTAGCAATCTGTGAATGTTCACATACAAAGGTACTCAGCCTCTTTCTGGAATATACTGATTACCAAGCGAAGAAAGCCCACCTGGTCGTCATGAATGCTGCAATTTTATATGTTCTTACCCGCACAACATATAAACAAAGATAGCCTTTTACATGAGTAATAGCGAGGAAGTGCATAATGTCCTTATTAATGTGAGAGGGATTTAAACTGGGGTAAAAGAAGGGATGGAGGGAGAGAGAGAGGTGAGAGGGAGGGAGGGAGAGAGAGGTGAGAGGGAGGGAGTAAAATAGAGGCAGCTCACGGTGAAAGACTTGAGGAGAATGGGTGTGGGAGTTACACTCAGTGACGCAAGGTATGCAGTTTTCACAGTCATCCATCCGAAGTTTATGTGCTAGAAACACGCGCGCAGCTAAATGTTAATGTGGTGGAAACAGTATATATATATATATTACACAGTGTAGCTAGAATATCTGCAGATGAAGACGGTGTTAGGGACTACTTTTATAACGTACAATGGGCTTGCTATTGAATCTAGTCCAGCAACTTTCAAATGTTTACACAGACACAGTGTGGTGATCCTACTGCTAAAGAGGGGAGCCAGAGCTGATAGTTTGGACACTGATGGAAGGGTGAGAACAGCATTCATATTGAGCCTTACTTAACCTTGCACAACTTTCACTAGTGCACAATAATTATACAGAACATAACTTCTACTACTAATCCTCCTACACTGTATGTACATAGAGAGCAAACCCTATTATGATGCTGTATAGTGTAATGACCATAATTGAGGACAATTGATATGCCAGACTCCCATTCTCACTGTGTGTCTCTCGGGATCCAGTTCAGATTGCAGTGGACCAAGAGAATGGAGACATTGTCACACTGTGAGTGATGCGAGTGGCATGGGATTTGTTTCTCACTACTCCTGCATAATGTACATGCAACATACGTTGTACACTCTCAAAGGACAATCTGAACAAAGGAAACCTCTGTGCCCTTGCTGCAATAGCAAGCCCATTCTACATTATAAGATTAGTCCCTAACACCCCGGCTTTGTCTTCATCAATCTACACAGATTATAGCTACACCTTTGTACAACTGTGTTGTTGCCGAGCGCGTTAGCGTGAGGCAACTACTCCGGGTTGTATTCTCGCACGTAGCTACGTGTCGTCACGCCTGTTCAAACTATAAGCGCATGCGCACTTTCCGCAGCGATAAAAATGGCCGACTACGTATATACAATGGTGGAAGCGCTCTAGCTTTGCAACGGAGCGTTTTCAGTGGAGGAGCAGGTGGCAGAGGTGTACAAGGATTTCGAGGTGGCAGTTCAGGTGGATCCTGAGAGAATGAAGAGAAGATCTCAGGCCAGCTCTGACACCAGCTCCATTGCCAGCAGAGAACTCAAATAGCACTCTATTACCTTTTATTATTTTGTACAATATATACTGTGTTTTGTATTTCACTCTCCTATACATTGCTTATTATTAGAAGACATGCCTGCTCCATGAAACACGACGTGCGCAGCTATATATAATATATAATTACTAATTACAAAAATATAAGAAAGAACAAGTCTGTTAATGTGGTGGAAACATTATTACACAGTTGGACAAAGGTGTATATAGCTATAATAATAAACTGTGCAGATCGATTAAGACAAAGCCGAGGTGTTAGGGACTACGTTTATAATGTACAATGGGCTTGCTATTGCATGTAGTCCAGCAAGGGCACATCACGCCACCTTTACATCATTTGTCACTCAATCACAAAGCTATTTTTACTAGTCATGAATAATGTTCATATTATAATATAGTGGCAGGTGTGGACAAGTTTAAAATTTGAAATGCCATGAATATCAATGGAACATCACATCATCCCAATGTGAATCCACTATTGCACATGGCTGTACAAATTTTACAAGATTCATGATCTGTGATTCTCTCTCTCTCAACCAGTGGAGGAGCAGGTGGCAGAGGTGTACAAGGATTTCGAGGTGACAGTTCAGGTGGATCCTTAGAGGATCTCAGGTCGGCTCTGACACCAACTCTATTAACATTGTTGGCAAGCAGTCGCGCGTGTTTTGCACATTACGTATTATAGAACATTATGGCAATGTGCAGTTCCCGGCAGAGCCATTGTAATGACTAGGTAGCTAGGCTTGCAGACACCAGCTCCATTAATGCACTATGTATATATGTAGTAAACATGACAAACCCATTAATCAAAATGGACACACACACAGAATGTCTGTTGTGTGCATTCTATAAATCTGTATTGGCTCTCCCAGTACTTTTTGTGCTGTACTAAAAAATGAAAGGGAATAGTAGAGTGGTTGAGTTCTCTGGTGGTAATAGAGTATGCACAATCACTTGTCTTTCTGGCTCGCGTAGTTCTGAATCCGCTAGGTAGGCCGGTGCACACACACACGCACACACGCACACACACACACACACCCTCGCTGCGCATGCGCCGAGGGGGTAAAAATTGCCGTTGCGCACGCGATCGGCGGCATAGTAGTAGTGTGATGACTACGGCGACGGATCCAACGCCCAGGATGTCAGGGAGGCCCGATGTTCTTCAATCCCTAAGTATTCTTGCGGCGTATCAAAGCCAGAGCGAAGCAAAGAAAAGAGGCGTTCTGGTATGCCACGTCTTTGAAATACATTTAGCTATAATTATTTGGTAATAGGGTGGCCATGGATTGTGCATTGCGCCGACTCCGAAGCTTTCGGACTCCGATGCTACGCCGAGTCCTGCGTCATCCGACATAATTGAAGTTTTCACCCTCGAATACAGATGGCTTGATGAGGAATGGTCCGGAAAAAGTAAGAAGAATACTAGTATTATAGTAGCGCCATATAACTCGGCCCCAAAGTAAATCATCGTTCTGACATTATTGGCACGCATCACGCATGAAAGAATGCGTCTCCAGCGCGCATCATGCGCAGCGAGGGTTAAGTGGTGAGTGTCTGTCTGTCCGTTCGTCTGTTACCACGTTTTCTGCTACTACGCGCAACGAGACAACAAAACAGCGATACCAACAGGTTCATCGCTACACTGGCTTCATTTTCTTAAAGGCCATTTTCGTATAACTACTGCGTTCAGAAGTTATTGCGTGAAACTAAGCAAGTGAACAAAGCCAATATGCAAATTTGCACAGGCTTTCCGCCGGGTCCGCTTGCTCTGTGTAACTTGGGGGCACAAGAAGTGTATCGACTCTGAATGGATATCACATCATGAACAAGAAGGGAACACAAGAAGATGCTATACCAAGTCATCCATAGCCCCATCCCTACATCTTTGTGTTTCAATCCTTTGAATGCATGAGCATACAAACAAAGATGTAAAAATGGGGTTGTGATTAACTTTCTGTCTCGGTGTGGGCATCTTCTTTTCCCCCTTCTTTTTCAGTGTATAGTCCAGCGTGCTCCCTCACATGAGTTTACGCAGTAGCAGAGCTTTCTCTCATGGCTATCAGTTTCAGATCCACAGTGGATAGATGCTGTTGCAAGAAGCATTTGCCCCACCCTATGGACTAACCTCGATGGATGTGAAGTTTACTGCACACCTCCCGGGAAAATTATGACAAAAGAAGACCAACCTGGCAAACAAAGGTAAGTAGTTCAATGTTTGTTTTGCTTGTATATAGTTACTAGCCCTTTCATTAGGTCTGAACCACTCACAATTGTTGTGGATCTCGATGAGCTTACTGCAAATCCTGGAGATGTGAACGAAAGAGAAGAAAAGTATAAAGGAAAGCGAATAAAGCTACAACGTGGGTCAAAAGTATCCAACCAGTCCTTTTTTCCACTGGCGGTGGACGACTACTTTATGTCTATAGCAATATTGTCTCAACGGCTTGGCAGTGCCGATGAAGTATGTTGGTTGGTTATTTTTACTGTTATTCCATTGCGTGTTCCTTCTGTTATTTATTAGAGTAAAAGAGTTGGGGCCTGCATTGTTTCCAATGAGTCACTTCGTGTTGTAAGCCTTGGATACCGCAAAGGTACAATAGATCTGGTTAGTGTGTCGTCAAGTATGATTGCTGTGATTATAGAAGACATTCATGCCGAGTTGAGTGCTCTACTAAATGCCAAAGTGTCTGGAGTAGACCTGACAAAGTGTTCTCTCTATACCACCAAACCTCCATGTCTTAACTGTACCCAAGCCATTCTGGAGGCTGGCATCAGAGTCATGGTATATGGTCCAAAGGGAGTCTTGGACCCTGGTGTTTGTGCTCTTATTTACGGAGCCAAAGCCTGTTTCAAGTAAATCATAGTGGATATTGCAAATGACACTAGTATGATAACCCCTTGTTTTTAGGGAATATAAATGCTATATTAGGATTGACGATGTTGAAAAGAGGTTTCTGATAGATTTGCATGAAAGTGATGTCTGTGCCAAAGAATTTGATCCACCAGAGATCTCAAAGCCATATGCAGCCCAATTAACACCAGTGTCTTCCTCTGGTAAGCAGTTTGCAGAGAGCACACTTCACCTACTCATTCATTCTTTGGTCTAAATTTAATTTAAGTTTCTGATAGATTTGCATGAAAGTGATGCCTTTCCCAAATAATTAGATCAACCAGAGGTCTCAAAGCCATATGCAGCCCAACCAACACCATCGTCTTCCTCTGGTAAGCAGTTTGCAGAGAGCACACTTCATCTACTCATTCAGTTTTGGTCTAAATTTAATTTAAGTTTCTGATAGATTTGTATGAAAATGATGCCTGTCCCAAATAATTAGATCAACCAGAGATCTCAAAGCCAGATGCAGCCCAACCAACACCATCGTCTTCCTCTGGTAAGCAGTTTGCAGAGAGCACACTTCATCTACTCATTCAGTTTTTGGTCTGAATTTAATTTAAGTTTCTGATAGATTTGCATGAAAGTGATGCCTTTCCCAAATAATTAGATCAACCAGAGGTCTCAAAGCCAGATGCAGCCCAACCAAAACCATCGTCTTCCTCTGGTAAGCAGTTTGCAGAGAGCACACTTCATCTACTCATTCAGTTTTTGGTCTGAATTTAATTTAAGTTTCTGATGAAAATGATGTCTGTGCCAAAGAATTAGATCCACCAGAGGCCTCAAAGCCAGATGCAGCCCAATCAACACCAGTGTCTTCCTCTGGTAAGCAGTTTGCAGAGAGCACACTTCATCTACTCATTCAGTTTTGGTCTAAATTTAATTTAAGTTTCTGATGAAAATGATGTCTGTGCCAAAGAATTAGATCCACCAGAGGCCTCAAAGCCAGATGCAGCCCAACCAACACCATCGTCTTCCTCTGGTAAGCAGTTTGCAGAGAGCACACTTCATCATTCTTTGGTCTAAATTTAATTTAAGTTTCTGATGAAAATGATGTCTGTGCCAAATAATTAGATCAACCAGAGATCTCAAAGCCAGATGCAGCCCAACCAACACCATCGTCTTTCTCTGGTAAGCAGTTTGCAGAGAGCACACTTCATCTACTCATTCATTCTTTGGTCTAAATTTAATTTAAGTTTCTGATAGATTTGCATGAAAGTGATGCCTTTCCCAAATAATTAGATCAACCAGAGGTCTCAAAGCCAGATGCAGCCCAACCAAAACCATCGTCTTCCTCTGGTAAGCAGTTTGCAGAGAGCACACTTCATCTACTCATTCAGTTTTTGGTCTGAATTTAATTTAAGTTTCTGATGAAAATGATGTCTGTGCCAAAGAATTAGATCCACCAGAGGCCTCAAAGCCAGATGCAGCCCAATCAACACCAGTGTCTTCCTCTGGTAAGCAGTTTGCAGAGAGCACACTTCATCTACTCATTCAGTTTTGGTCTAAATTTAATTTAAGTTTCTGATGAAAATGATGTCTGTGCCAAAGAATTAGATCCACCAGAGGCCTCAAAGCCAGATGCAGCCCAACCAACACCATCGTCTTCCTCTGGTAAGCAGTTTGCAGAGAGCACACTTCATCATTCTTTGGTCTAAATTTAATTTAAGTTTCTGATGAAAATGATGTCTGTGCCAAAGAATTAGATCCACCAGAGGCCTCAAAGCCAGATGCAGTCCAACCAACACCATCGTCTTCCTCTGGTAAGCAGTTTGCAGAGAGCTCACTTCATCTACTCATTCATTCTTTGGTCTAAATTTAATTTAAGTTTCTGATGAAAATGATGTCTGTGCCAAAGAATTAGATCCACCAGAGGCCTCAAAGCCAGATGCAGCCCAACCAAAACCATCGTCTTTCTCTGGTAAGCAGTTTGCAGAGAGCACACTTCATCTACTCATTCATTCTTTGGTCTAAATTTAATTTAAGTTTCTGATGAAAATGATGTCTGTGCCAAAGAATTAGATCCACCAGAGGCCTCAAAGCCAGATGCAGCCCAACCAACACCATCGTCTTCCTCTGGTAAGCAGTTTGCAGAGAGCACACTTCATCTACTCATTCATTTTTGGTCTAAATTTAATTTAAGTTTCTGATGAAAATGATGTCTGTGCCAAAGAATTAGATCCACCAGAGGCCTCAAAGCCAGATGCAGCCCAACCAACACCATCGTCTTTCTCTGGTAAGCAGTTTGCAGAGAGCACACTTCATCATTCTTTGGTCTAAATTTAATTTAAGTTTCTGATAGATTTGTATGAAAATGATGCCTGTCCCAAATAATTAGATCAACCAGAGATCTCAAAGCCAGATGCAGCCCAACCAACACCATCATGTAGTAAGCAGTTTGCAGAGAGCACACTTCATCTACTCATTTTTTGGTCTAAATTTGATCCTTCCCTTTAGAACCCTCATATAGTGATTTTTTTATGGCAATGGCTTTTTTATCACACACCCGAGCAAAAGACATGAAGTATCAGGTTTGTTTTGGTGTAATGTAAGGTATAAATGTCACAGTTGTTTCAAAATTTCAGGTTGGAGCCTGCCTAGTAACCCCAGCTCCGCATCGTCTGGTTGCCATGGGATACAATGGAATGCCTGATGGTCGTGGTTTCAAGGATGACAAAATGGATTGGGGCACAGAGCAGTCCAAATATAGTAAGAAAGGACCAGCAATTGCTCCTTGCAGTAAACCTCTGTTTCAGTTTGTCATGCAGAGCTGAATGCTATAATTGCGGCATTTAGAAGAGAAGCTGATCTGTCAACCTGCACTCTCTATGTGACCCACACTCCCTGTGATGACTGTTCTAAGCTGGTGGCTCAGTCTGGGATCAAGTATGTGGTGTTTGCACGACCTTTCCATAATGGCAGTGCTATGAATGAAACTCTTAAACGACTACCACATCCGGAGATCACGTGAGATAAACTGATACATTACCAATGGAGATGTTATACTATTAATTTAGGCAGTATGATATGGAGAGTGAATGCGGCAACATTGCAATAGATCTTAAAGATCTATCTATAAAATTAAGCAAGTCAAGGTAAAATTTTAACATTACATGATTTTGGTGTTAAGTCTGGTACTTTCAGTAAGACACCTCCGAATGATTGTGCCCCAGCCCAAAAAAAGGGCCGAAGAGATGTAGATTTTCCGTTGGATGACTACTTCATGTCTCTAGCAGTGTTGGCTAAATGTCGAAGTGTTGTTTCTGAGGTAAAGTGAGGGTTCTTATCAGCCTAGCTATTTAAATTGTCACCCAATCTATGTATCTATATATACACTATATAGAGAGTTGGTGCTTGTCTTGTCTATAAAGAACCACGCCGTGCCATAAGTGTTGGTTACAGTGGAAACATTGACGGCCTGTCAGATAACAAGAAGACAGAATATGGTGCGTTAACTAGGCACATTGAAAGTAGGACATGTTGAATCTCTTCTTCCAGTGTGCTGTGCAGAGTTCAATGCAATTGTGAGTGCCTACAGATACCACGCAGACCTCACCTCTGCCACTCTATACACCACTGGAGTTCCTTGTTCAAGATGTGCCACAAAGATTATACAGTCTGGGATCAAGACAATAGTCCATGGTGGTGAGGAAAAGTCAATGGAGCCAGAGGCTAGGGAGGTCTTCTACTGGGGAAAGGTTGCCACGCTGTAAGTTTCGTTATTGTACTACGACCTCAAGAAATGTGAGAGAATAATTATCTTTTTTAGCAAGTACGAATGTCAAACCAAGAAACCAATCATTGAGATTGATCTTCGAAGGCTAGTTGTTGACCAGAGAGAAGATGGGGATGGAGGGGGAGCGGAATAAGAGATGAGTATTGGAAATATGGACGTCAAAACATTTTATACCCATATTTTTGTTTGTGTGATATAGTTATAACTTATTGCACACTGTAAAGTTAAAATATACTTGTAAAGTGCTAAAAATAATACACTCAATGTTTCATTTCGTAAGCTATGATACAGCTCTCATCAGAAGTGGACACGTCTCCAGGTCTAATGTAATGTACACTCCTTCGCCTTCCTGTCTGGAGACTCACAAAGCCACGCCCACCTGTCAGAACATAGATTGCTCCCTCTGTGGACCCACCACTCAAGGCCGGGGCAACCGACTGTTCGAGAGTCGTGAAGAAGTCGGGTAGCGGGTGAAGTGGGATGGGCCCAGCAAGATGGAGCGTGGAGGGGTCTTCATATGGACTGGGAGATCTCTTGTGGTTCAGATAGGGGCTGTCTTCTGGTGTCACCTCGTCATAGAGAGGGGGAGGAGTCACCTCTGCTCTCGGTTGAGCCGAAGTGCTTTCTCGTTCTTCTTCGACAGGTGATGGTCGCCCCTTCCCTGCTCTTGCCGCGGCGTCCAGGGTACCCAGACGACGGAATGTCCCAGTGTCTTCTGTACCCTTCCCGTCTCCATCTTCACTGGCCTTTTCTTGTTGGAGCTCTTTCATCTAACTGGCATGGCTAGCTGCATCTGTTGGGCTCAAATCATCGAAATTAGGTGGGGGGAGAGGAGGGAATGTGGACGACTCTCATCCCTCATCTGTTGGGTGTGGAGCAGAACCGTCTTCTCCTCCAGCAGTAAACACCTCGTCTTCTCCGGTCACGTGTGGCGGGAATTCCCCCTCGTCTGCCTCCACCGGCTCCCATTCCTCCTGGAACCTCTCCTGCTCCTCCGAGACTGCAGGCACCCCGTGAAGACGATGGATCCCCTGAAACTGCCCCAGTGGTTCCTGAACCAGTGGAGCTTGTTAAAATCCCTGACACAGGAGATAACGGTTGTTTTACTTTCCAGTGGTGGAAATATGCTTCAAAATATCGTTAAAATCCCTGACGATGTTTCTCCTAACATGGTGAGTTTAACTCACAAAGCCACACCAAATCTGAGGCCCACAATTGTGAAGGTGTTTCTAGTTAGACTGTACTGCACTGCACTGTACTGTAGTAACGAGAGACATAATATATATTATATATATATTATGTGTCTCTCGTTACTACAGTGCAGTACAGTACTGGTGGAATTCCTGTATCAGAATGGAGCGAAACTGACAGTGTCGGATGAGAAAGGAAGAGGTTGTCTGCACTACGCTGCACTCAGTGACGACGCAAGGTATGCAGTGTTCACAGTCAAGCATGCATGCATGCCGTCATTTCAGTGGCAAACATGTTTTCTCTGCTTCACAAGGGGCTCAGCATTCTTCCTGTTTTTCATGCCTTTGCTACTGTTTGCTACTTCAGTGCTTTTGGTTGCTTATCACTGACTCGTGATGGCCAGTGTGAAGTTATTGATAGCAATTTAGATGGAATGTTTATTTCACTGTATATACCTTCCATTCTATGTTGAATAATTCATCCTTACAAATGTGTACACACACCACACACACACAGTGTGGTGATCCTACTGCTAAAGAGGGGAGCCAGAGCTGATAGTTTGGACAATAAAAAGGACAATTTGTTTGCCGTAGTACTACGTTAGTGCATTAGTCCACTGAATAAGGGATTCCTCTGAATAAAGGACACTTTCGACGTGTCCAAGGTGTCCTTTGTTCACATGTATCACTGAAATAAAATCTTAATATCCTCCCTAACTTTACAGACTGAGGATGTCTCGACTGAAGCAAGATGAAATGGGATATGGTGAGTCACCGACACACAGTGCACCATTCAAATAGCACACCAACGTTTCAACCAATTTTTAAGAGATTCATGATCCGTGATTCTCTCTCTCTCTCAACCAGTGGAGGAGCAGGTGGCAGAGGTGTACAAGGATTTCGAGATGGCAGTTCAGGTGGATCCTGAGAGAATGAAGAGAAGATCTCAGGCCAGCTCTGACACCAGCTCCATTGCCAGCAGAGAACTCAAATAGCACTCTATTACCTTTTATTATTTTGTACAATATTATACTGTGTTTTGTATTTCACTCTCCTATACATTGCTTATTATTAGAAGACATGCCTGCTCCATGAAACACGTGCGCAGCTATAATTATAATTACAAAAATATTAGAAATAACAAGTCTGTTAATGTGGTGGAACAGTAGTTGGACAAAGGTGTATAGAATCTGTGCAGATCAATGAAGACAAAGCCGGGGTGTGGTAGGGACTACTTTTATAATGTACAATGGGCTTGCTATTACATGTAGTCCAGCAAGGGCACATCACATGTCACCTTTACATCAAATTTGGTCACTCAATCACAAAGCTTTGTTACTAGTGAATACTGTTATAATAATAATAGTGGCAGGTGTGGACAAGTTTAAAATTTGAAAAGCCATGGATCTCATTGGAACATCATGTCATCCCATGGGAATTCACTATTGCACACGGCTGTATATACAATTTTAAAAGATTCATGATCTGTGATTCTCAAGTGGGAGAGGATTTCGAGGTGGCAGTTTCAAGTGGATCCTGACATGCGAAGATCTCAGGCCAGCTCTGACACCAATACCATTAGCATTGTTGGCAAGCAGTCGCGCGTGTTTTGCATATCACGTAGAACATTACAGTAATGTGCAGTTCCCGGCAGAGCCGTCAAATATTCCCCATTGAAACGACTAGGTAGGCTCACTGACCACCAGCTCCATTGCAAAACTTTGTACCAACTCTGCTAGGACAATGATCCGCTGAGTGTATTCAGCACTTGGCAGTAAAGCCAAATGCAACAAATTAACCAAGGCTCCCTGCTCCCGGCATCTTGCATCTCAAAAGGAGACCTAATAATTATCTTCTGGCTCTACATGTGCAGAGTTTAGTCTTCCAAATTCCATTAGTGTTGGCTTGAGTATTGAGTATATATAGCTACTGTGCTCAGTTCAATAGTGGGTGAATGCCTTTACCTCATCTCTGCACACCACAGGAGATAAAGGTTGTCTTACTTTCCAATGGTGGAAGGTGCTTCTAGATCGTCAAATGGTGTTTGTACTCTTCTCCCACATTTTTAATTTAGTGTGGTGATCAGTTCTTTGTTGCGAGGCACGCATGCGCTACCGAGGGTTTATTACAGCGCTCGAGAGCTCCGCGCGGAGGAGTCAAGATGACGGAAAGGATTCGCTGCGCGTTGAGTATCATTGCCAGGTGCCAAGCCAGCCCAGTGATTTTGCGGTAGGGCTAGCTATTACTGTTAACTACTTACAGCAAACCCTCTCTACAGGATTATGTGTGGCAGAGCGCGACTATCAGCCGGGAAAACGCTCTGAACAATCAGATGGACAGTCAGATGGACAGTCGCAGGAATACGATGCGATTGAAGTGCTTTGCCTCTCTGAGTCGAGGGAGCAGTCTCATCCTAAAGGTAGCTACGTAGCTGTAATATAGCTAGAGGACGTGAATCATGACGAAGCGAGCAGTATGTAATAATGTCGTCCGCGTCTGGCCAATTATTATATCGCGCGCACCACCCCGCAGTTACAATGGTGAACATATCATGTGCTTTCTGACTTTCAGATACACATTGGACACGTGCTGTTGCAAGCAGAGCAAAACATGGCAAAAATACACATCTTTCTCGAATAATCTAATCACACTTCTTTCATAGGCAAGAAAACAAAGGTGTTGAGGTTGTCTGTACCACTTCCTCGAAGAAGATGAAATTGGACAGAAAATAATGAAACTCGTTGCGACCCCAACATGTACGTTGGGGAATATTGGTGATTGGGCTGTTCACTTTTTGAAAAATGCATACCGAGATAGGAACACTTGTCTTAGGGTAAACGGCTTTTGTCCCTTGTAGAGAGGTCAGGTCGTCCCCATCTCGGAGGTTGGTGTGTTATTTCAGCTTAAGCTATAAACCCCTCTTGGGGTGATTTAACCAATTATTTTATTGATTATGCACGATCAAGACCGATTGTAGGCCTATAGCTACACTGCGCAAGGCGAGCAAGCGCAGAGTGCGGCGATGTGTGTAGTTTCCCGGTCTTCGCGCTTGCGTTAGGACCTTTCGCTGTGCTCGCTGGGGAAAGACTAGTGTGTAAACCCACGCTGCCAATGTTCTTTGCAACGTATAGCGTATGGCTCGCTCTTCAACTGGAGTGCGAGTGTAGTGGGAGTGGCTTCTCTGTCCGTTCTCGGAGGCAAAACAATGGGCTGAGTCAGTCCGGGGTGCGGTTGGTGTCCGTTGTCCGGATCTCGGAGGCAAAATACGTCCGCTTTTCGGAGGTATTAGTTCTACGATAGTTTCAATCCGTTCTGACTTAGCGTTTTGTCCGCTTCTCGGAGGGTCCGTTATGAGAGGTTCCACTGTATGCAGTGCCAATTGCCAATTAGGCGATCCTACGCCAAACTGCCAGTCACATTTATCGTCTCCTGTGTAGGTCTGATATTTTGAGGGTTGATTTAAACACACTTGAAGTGTGTACTGTTGACGAGGAGGAAAAGAGCAAATTTAAGGAAGCAGGACCAGTTGAGCTTCTCTCTGGATCGGAAGAATCAGATCAGTCAATTTTTCCACTGGCAGTGGATGACTACTTTATGACAGTAGCAATACTGTCTAAAAGTCATTCTAGTAAAGTATGCTTTTATTGTTCATAATAATAGGTTGAAGCTTCACGTGCATTTAGCTAGTGCCTTGCATTACTGTTACAAACGATAATGAGTCAATTTCCCCACTCTTCCACCTTAGGGTGATTTCACTGGAGCTTGTATTGTATCCAATGATTCGCTTCATGTAATAAGCCTGGATACTGCAAAGAAGGTATGTAATTATACAAATAATGTTACGAAAATCAATATTAATTTTACAGGGCAAAATCTCATGCGAGTTAAAAGCTCTACTGAATGCAAAAATTCGCGAGTGGACCTGACAAAGTGCTCTCTCTACACTACCAAACCTCCATGTTTTGATTGCACCCAGGCCATCTCTTCATCATCTGCGCGAGCGGGGAGACACGGATCTATACTATAGATTCGGTCTTACGCGGATGCTTAGCCACGCGACTCGGCATACTATAGACGCGTAGAACACTCACTACTCTCTTCGTCCTAGGTGCCGTCGCCGCTAGTCGCTGGCACGCGACCTGCTACCCCTTGACCTTTGAGTGGCGCACAGTTTGCGCATGTAGCGACAAAATGAAAAGGCGGGTGGTGTGCGCAGCAGCTGCCCCACCTCCAGCGCGTAGAATCCGCGTCTAAGAGCGATGAATGCAGATCTGCCATGGAAAGGAAACGTCGGCCTCCTTGCGGCTCTAAGATGACCACTAGGCTTTATAACACACGAGAACGAATCTGGGCTTCGTCTGCGGGCTACACCAAGTATAAACACGCAAACAAACGGCAACCGCACGAACTCGAAAAAACACGCGGACGGCGGTTATTATTCACGCATGCGCATTACCGCGCGCAGATGAGTTAATGCTGGCATCAGAGTTGTGTGGATAGTGGACAGGTGGAAAAGAAGTAGAAGAGGATGTTTGAAAGACTCGTCTATAACGCCAAACGCATGTTTCAAGGAATTCTAT